TGTAGAAAGCTGCCGGCTACGTTTTGAGGGATGAAGCCATCATTGATGAAGTGACAGGAAAATTCCAAATATGCCATGTACAATTATAATACTTGTTCCAACTGTAGCCCATCAATGGCATCTGCACAACCTTCACTCCACCAAACACTGTAACAGTATTCAGGACTTACATCTTGATTTCTATAAAGGGTTTACATCCTTAATAATTGCTATAATCCATCTCCTGACCACTAATTAATTAATTGTGTACTCTTCAGAGGAAACTAACGATGGTCTAGAAGAAATCCCTACCAGACCAGAGGGGGCAGAAGGGACAACTTCCCTCAAAGGTAAAACATTTCTTATAAGTTATACATGACTGTGTAGAAAACTCTTGTTCTCTATAATTTAAGGTTTTTCATTACATCTAGAATGTGATTGCTGTGGTCAGTTGTGGTATCATCTCTCTATGAAATCTTGATGGCGTTATATATAGGTGTAGTGCAGGTATAGTAAAGTGTGTGTTGGTTTGCTTGTATGAATTGCTCGAAGGTAAAACAGCTGTTATGTAACAGTTATAGAAGCTCTGGGTACAGAGTAAGTTTTTCTAGTCACCCTGGGGGCATTTATTATTATTGTTGTAGTCAGTGTGACTATGATACCATCTATCTTATGAAAGCTTGATGACTTAACATAGTTAAAATATGATTAGTGTATGTGTCAGTTTTGTTACTATGAGTGAGATGTGAATTAACCTGAAATGAATTTCGAACTTCAATTTTTCTTTTATTTAAAGCACCTTGTAATCACCTCCTCTGTGATTTTAGATGCTCGGTCTCCAGTCCAGGACACGGAAGACCCAGAGGGAAATGAGAGAGATCTGAACACAAGTAAAAACTCTATCAGTATTCCTAATTATGCATGTCATCAGATGTTTGTTTCACATAAGATTATAATGGTGTAATCCAACAATAGTTTTATCAAGTTGGTAATGTACACAACCAAACTATTCCTACCTTGCTGACGTTTTGTTGTCTATCAGACACCTTCCTCATAGAGCTTCTGACCGGAGTTCTGCTTCTCGCCGCTAGAACACAATCCCAACACCTTGTCCCGGTTCATCACTGGGGTTGACTTCCTTATCCAGACTGCTTCTTTAATCCATCGGATTCTCCTAAGCTGTTGTCTTCTCTATCAGTGACCTCAATATTGTGTATTGTCACTAATCGTCCTGTATGATAAATAAGTATTAAATTATTGTATGTCCACAGAGGATGCCACATATGGCCTTCAGGAGCTGGCAGGAGATGGTGATGTCACAGTAACAACTTCTCTGAGAGGTCAGGTTCTGAGTAATTTTGTTCTTGGTGTGTCTGTTTGTCTGTGTTTCCACAGTTATATCCATATTTTACACAATTATATTAGATTTCAGAACCTATATCAATGTCCTTTGGGTACAGCATTTTGTAAGCATACTTTCTAAGAATGATACGTCAGTGCATATGGGACAGACTTTTGAAGTAGGTGTGCTCCAGACTTTTTCAAAATCTTTTCAAAATCAAATCTATCCCACATTGCTTCAGTAACTGCTACTTTGGTATTACCTGGATGGCTAACCTTCATTTATGCTCCTAAATTAGATAATTATATTAAATTAAACTTGTTGAAACATGATGAATTCAAATAGATATACGCAGTTATAATTATATAAAGGTATAAACGTAAGCAAGTCTCAGCAACAAGTATCGTTTTATGTTAAACTTTGCTGTATCAGTAACAATTCTAATGATTATAAAAATGTTACTGAATATTTGTTGTGCTAATGATTTCAGTTGGTTCTAAGCTCCAGGAAGATTAGCTACATATCTACTGTATATGACAGTTAATGATGTTGATAAAGTTACTTTGAGTGTTGTAAGGCTTGTGTTTTGACCCTACAGAAGCAGAAGAGGACCTGTACAAGGAGACACCGGTGTAACCTCAGAGAGGCTGCTGTATCCTGTCTTCCTGCAGTTACATCATGGACATGGACTCTTGGTATTTGGGCAGTATTTACGAAGTCGATGTGTTCAGTCTGAATTAGGACCGTATTTTTCTAGCCTGGTATTCATTTATACTCAGTACCTTTCAATGTTGCAAAAACTGTTTTCAAGGCCACAATAAGTTATTCAATTGGTTCTTGCAAAGTTCAAAATTCATTGTTTGCATTGCAAACTAGACTAAGTCTATTATGTTGACTTCATGGCTCTTATACATTTTTTGTAGCCTAGAAGTCCCTCTGTAGCATTTGGGGGACTATCATAGAATGTGAGCAAAACGTTTGTGCAAGGTTGGTCCTAGAAAATAGTGAATTTCAAAGTCTTCAGAAAGATTCAAATACAATATTCCATCAGATATTTTTAGGATTAAGAAGATTGTATTTTACTGTGAGATGATATTTTCACCCTGAATAACATTAAGGGTAAAAGTTATGGATTGCATACATGAACTATTTTTGAGATTGATAGATTTTTGAGATTGGCTTGCCTTGTAGATAGGGCTTCTAACTGTCTTCTTTCTCTGCTTAGCACTTGAGTATATGACTTAGTATGCACTACGAGTGGACCATCCCCCAGTGCTGTAGTGCTTGCACAACTGTGTGGCCCAAGGGTATAGAACTGTGGGCCCTGAAAAGTGTAGGAAGTATTTAACTTCTAACAAGGCATCTAAGTGTGTCATATAATGTATTGCTGTTGGAGACAATTCTCTGAGAAAAGCATCATAAGTTTTTAATTCAGAGTCTATTTTGAAGATTTTCCAGGGTCTTCCAAAGGCAAATATTTCTATCACGTCCAGGCCTTGGTAAATATACATTTTACATGTTCTCATTAAAGTCTATCAGTTTTAAAGTATAGAAGTATGGTCCATTGTCCCCTAGAGATGGCCTAAGCACTCTTGTCTACAGCAGGCTAGCACTTCGTAAAACTACATGTAGCTTAGCTTCCAACACAGAGTGCTTCTGGGAACTCCAGCCATATAACCTGGCCTCTTCCTGTCTCTGGGCTGAGGGTTGGGTAGTCAACTTTCTATGAGTCAACATTGGAGGTGTCTAGAGATTTTTCTGTCACTCTGGGCATGATATTAGTATATTAGATTTAAAAAAAGCAATACTGCCTTTCCGATGATACAATGTGATAGGTATAGTGCAGTAATGCCATTGTGAATCCAGAGTTAAAGGGGGACCATTTACATAATATTCATCAAAAATGAAGATGATTATTCTAGGCCCATTCCAACATATTTTCTTTGCTTGATAACTGTCCATGGTGTTGAAAGGTCATAATCTTTCCTAGCCTTCTGGTTTTACTTCTCCACTAGTGTGCCTTCATGCAATTTGTGTGGAAGCTGCTTTTTGTTGTTGCATAATTGTATTTTTTAATTATAGTTTTTATACTACATATTTAAGGAGTTGAGGCAACTTTGCTTTTTCATTCTTTCTGCATAATGCTGCTATTGCCATTGCTGCATAATTCCCAGCATTGATAAAATGTATAATTATGTCTTTTGAAAATGCTGTATAATACCTTTTATTGAGCAATATCATGTCTTATTTCCATTGAGAAAAGTAAGCATCATGATTAAGGCTGTAAGATTTATTGAAAACTGATGCATATCTCGAAGAAATAGTGGTTGTGATTCTCCTAAGTAATAAAACCAAAAATATAATATTGAGACCTTATTATTTAGCTAACTACTAAGTGAATACAGAGTTTTTGATATGTATGGTTACTTTTAAGTAGGATACTTGCAGCTTTTATACTTCTATAAGCTTAAGGAGCTTGACTTGTATGTCCCATGGACTTGTATGACCTACTTGAATGTGCAACATGACATTTGTGTTTTATTCTTTGCTTTAACCTATGGATAGGTACATGTAGGCGTCTTATTTTCTGTGCTACTCTACATGAATGCTGTCCTTAGCCACCACAACATTACACCACATTACAATACCCTGTCGCAATTCAAAGTAAGTTAAAAAAAAACAATTGTTAGAACTAATAGTAAGTAAGTAAGTAACGTAAGTAAGCCTTATATTTAAAATCGAAAGCTTGTGGTAATATCTGGAAATACCAAATATGAAGGAAGAAATGTCTACTATGTAAATCGATGTACATTTGTAAATAGATTAACTGAATATACTAAGTAACAGTAAGTCAAATGCTTTGTGAAAGTGCTAGTAATAGACTATTCTTTGTATAATGGTACAGGTAGTAATCTACCATTATATAAAGCCATCTCAAGAAAACAACATGCGTGTACAGCTTGAATAGAGCTTAATGTAGGGAGGTGAAGACTATGGAACTATATGTGAGGTCTGTACTGACAGTAAGTTGCAGGCTCTAAGGTACATGTTTCTTTACATGTCAACAATAAAACTGTGCTGGTCAATGGAACTAACAGGTCTAACCATTATTCATGTTTTCTAAGACTCCGCATAAACATTTAATATGGTTTGTATACGAGGTGCAAACTGTGGATTTGAGCACACCTCACTTCTCCCTGGACAATGCTTGGGGTCATAGTGGCTGCTATGGATCTAACCTGTGCGGTAAAACCTTTCTTGCATTCAGAGTTGACTCATTTCAATCTCTAGGCTTAGCATTTTCCTCCCCTGGTAACTTTTGTTTTTTGTTTTTCATTACAAAATTGATATAGTTACTACATGTATATTGTTCTTATTCAAGTCACTTTTACTTTACAGACTGAACAAGTTTTGTAATGCCTATTTTGTGTTCTGCTGACTGGATGTTGTGTCCTTGGGAATGGCTCTTGACTTCTCCCAGGTGTAAAATGGTACCTGACTTTGGTTGGGGAGGTAAAAAGTGGTGGAAGGAGAGGGATGGGCTCCACCTTCTGCACTCTACTGTAAGCCTAAGACAGATTGGATAAACAACATGCCCCTACAACCTGACAGAGGCTATGGGACTGCCTTTTACCTTTATTTATTTATTTATTCTTTAATTCAGGCCCGTGGCCCATATCACATTGCGAACAGACAGATAAAAATAACTGGAGGCATGGTAACAAACACAATAAATAATACCTCAATAATCTAGTTGCTATACCCAAAGAAAACAAACTACTTAAAAACTAGGTTAATGTAATGCCTCCAGAATGTACTGAGGTAGTAGCCGTCAGAGTGAACTAGGGTAGAGATGATCGTATTGTCACTATGAAGTAGCCGAGTGACAAAAGAATACAATTGTTTCCTTCGTCTAGCGTCAAAAGTGTCGATTCCGAGGTTGGCAAATAACTGGCTGTTGCTAGTGCTTCTGCTTACAGAGAGTAACAGCTTCAAGGCGCTGTGGTACTATTTATATATCAATAGTTTTATAATTTTTTGTTTGTTCAGATTTGAAAAGCTTTGCATTTCAAAATTAGAGTTTAAAGATTTCTTTACATTGGATACTGCTTTCTGTGAAAGGTATGAAGTATTAATATTCCAGTGGGTTTGAAATTAAAATATCCAATAGTTTTGTGGCCTTGCCAGCATTAAACAAAAAAATAAAGACTAGGGTCAGTCAAGGTATTTTTAAACATGTATTTTTTCCTAGGCCTTATTAAAGTAACTGCATGCAAGTGAATATATCAGACAAATAAACAATTAGACACATTCTGGCTCTAATGTGCTCTTTATTCTAACCTCCGACAATACATGGTAGTCTTGTTATCATGGTACTTTTCAGTGCTAATTGTGCTTCTGATGCAGACATTGTTGTCAGCTTTACTGATAATGAACATAAATCAGTGGCAGGAAATATGTTTATGTGTAGTGACTGTTTGTCCCTTTGAAATTCTGTATTTTCCGTAATAATCTTTGTAAAAATCGACAAAATTCAGACATATTGTACTTCTGCCATTTTGACTTTACAATAAAATTGAAGAGAGTCAATCAAGAAAAGTTAAACTGACTATAGCAAGGTAAATATTTCGTTGCATAATATAGAATCGGATCTTAATTTACAGAAACTTGGTAAAGAAGTCATTGTAAGGCACAATTTTTTTTACTGCAGGTTTTGTATTAAAAAGGAGAAAAATACTCCCTCTAGGTAAATTGTTCAAAATGCACTTTTAACTTAGGTCATGGCAATATCTTTTTCTTAAAATTTTTGCTGTTTTTACTTTGAAAAAATTAAAATCTCCAATTGTTTTGTCAGGTTTTGATGATGAGCAGTTAATACTGGTATCTAGACAAATAAACAAAACTAGAGTTCCCCGATCTCATACCTTCGCCAAATGATGTTAATCTTTATGACTGACAAATTATAGATTAGATTATTCCCCCCTGATTTAAGAAATAGGAACCTAATTTTCATGAATTATATCATTTTATCATAATCTCAACCAAAAGACAGTCTTATATTAACAAACAATGCATTCTAGCATTTCCTAATAAATTATGCATATGAGGTCCTGATTTGAATAAATTATGTTTGATGATGTTCACCTCAATTTAACTTTCAAATACCACAAGTATGAAATTCCAGGCAGTTATCATTACATAATTATAAAATTTTCTCATTAATTATGCAAATTAAGTCATTATTAACATAATCAATATCTTCCCGTGTTTCTCTCGTTGTCAATTACCAATGTCACAAGCTTCAATTGTCCTATCATGGAATGCAGATGATTTATAGAATTTCCTCATAAATTATGCAAATTACATCCATATTTGCATAATTGTCACATAATTATATTAAGCATCACATAAGCTACCTACATACCAAAAACCACAACGATCCGTCAACTGGTTCTTGAGTTATCCCCTTTTGAATATTTTCAAGAATATATCCCTGCAGTTCCAGAGCAAGCCGCTAGGGGGCCTAAACTCACGTCACTTCTTCCCCAGCACAAGAGCTACCTACCATCCAAATTTCATCACCATAGCATGTCTAGATCATGAGATATCAAAACCGGAAGTTCAGCTGCAATACCATAACAAGCCGCTAGGGGGTCCAAAATCTAATCATTTTGAGGTCTCATCAAGACCTACCCACCTACCAAGTATCAAGCAATCCATCAAGGCCTTCTCAAGTTATCGTGTTTACAGACACACACACACACACACACACACACACAAACACACACATACACGAACGCCCCTGAAAACATAACCTTCTTGGCGAAGGTAAAAACTGCAAATTTTGCCATAGCCCATAACCTAAACCACTACAAATCTGGTGCCAAAAGGCTACCTCAATTATATGCTAAATGTTAATGTAGACACATTGTACAGCGTACCTTCCTATATGACTTTGAGTTCTGTTTCTATTTAACCATCTCCCTGCTGCCTAACCCAAACAATGCAATAATATACAAATCTGCTGACAAATGGCTACCTTAGCAGGCTGAAGGTTAATGTAGATGCATTATATATTGTACAGTGTACCTCCCCATAATAAAGTTGCCTGTTCAACCTTCTCCCTGCTGCCTAACCTCATAACCCATACAAATCTGGTGCCAAATGGCCATTTCAGCAAGGTTTAAGTACTTTATGGAAGGTAACATGTCTTCATGATTACATATAATTTTTTTATATCCGCCACACTGACTACAACTTACTCTGTAATAGTCTCCTCAGCATCCAAATGATCTCAGACATGTAACTAAATAAAAACTAAACACAAAACTTGTACCTGCTTGAATATACCTTCTGAATCAGTAGGCTAAGCTATAGCTACACTACGAGTTACCGCTAGATAATGATTGTATAAAATAATATCCCTCTACCTGACAGTGTACTAACTTAAAGTTACATAGATATGGAGAGGATGTCCTCACTGCAGTGTCTTACTTGTAACATCCCCTTTCTTTTGCAAACAATATGTCAGTTCCAGATTATATAATTAATAGCCTGCATTATTATATATATATATATATATACCATTATGCAATCTGTACTACTTGATCTATTCCTAATACAGTGTACCAAGAAATTCTATATTTATCATAGTCCGTGATCGTACAGTCCATAATCATAGTCCATTTCCGATTTACGAGTCCATTTGGTCTGGTGCCCTTATGGTTTCGTCTGACGGTTGTGTCATGTGGTGTTGGTACAGCTGTTAATGTCAGAGTGCTGCTTCTGCTGTCCACAAAGCAACACTGTTACAGTAGTTTCCTCTTTTGTTAGTTCTTTGTTGTCTCCTGAATGTGTTTCTGATTTCTCTCGGAGATACACGCTGCACATGGCAGCTGAACTTTCTTTCCGTATGGCTATCTTTGTAGACAAGTGATTTCTGTTGAAGTTCATCTCGCTTCCGAAAGTATTGATCTACTGTCACCAGTTAATCCGTAAATACTTTCATCCGTTTGGGTAATGATTGAACAGCAAAGTTCTTTATTCATGCACGACCACTTGTTTAAGAACAGCCGACGTTTCGACGACCGTCTGTCATCTTCATCAAGGCAATTATGACTGGTTCACTGTGTCACTGGTCACATAATTGCAGTGATAAAGATCACAGGCGGCCATCGAAACGTCGGCTCTTGTTAAACAAGTGGTTGTGAATAAAGAACTTTGCTGTTCTGTCACGATCCATAGATTCCTGACTCCATGGTGTGGTAGGTTTTCGGTGTGATACATGTTTAGTAACTGTTAGTGTTTCTGGTTGTCCTCGGCTGGTATGTGTTGCACTTGTTTTCATTTTCTCCCGGAGCTGACCGCTCACACCTGGCCAAAATAGGTTTTCCCTGGGGCCTAGGCCTTGATGGCAGGGTGTTTTGGTGTTTAGGATGATCAGTCCTAACTGTGTACTGATTTCAGCTGATGAAAAAGGATGTTGTCGTGCATTGACAATCTGGAACTCTAGATCTGTGGTTTTGTCTTGATGCCTGGTACTCAGGATGGCTTGGCCTGTGGGCCAACTGGCTTGAGGATAGTTCCTTGGTGAAGCTTCAGTCTTGCTTTGCTGGGCTTTATTCTTTGCTCAAACTTCTGGAAGTCACCTTCACTGATCACGTTGCATGAGGCTCCTGTTTCTAGTGTCTTTCCTTCACTCATTCGCAAATCTACATGCCATTTTTTTGTCACTAATTGTCATTTTGCCTACTCTTCTTGCTTCCCACTTGTATGTTGACAACATCATCATAAGTGACTCTGGCAGAGACCACAGAACTGATGCTGCTAATCTTGTTTTCTAGGATTGTGTGTGTACAGAAAGGCGATTGCTCTTAAGGTGGTAGATCGTATTATTTCAGGAACTGTTTCTTAGGGTGCACAAATACTCCAGGTCGTAGCCCCAAATTTCTCAGCACCCTGATTGTGGCGTCCACTGTTGCCCCATGACCTCTACTGATCTGCTGCTCCAGCCGTGACCCCGCAGGCCTGCAGGAAGGCATTGTGGGATTCCTCCCAGTACCTGGACGCCACGAGCTCCTGCTTGAACCTGGCGGCTTTCTCGAACTCGTATTTGCTGTAGTTGAGGATGTGCACGATTCGGTCTGCCCACCTCTTTACATCATTTGCACGATCGCGGTCGTTCACGCTGGTCTCCACGATGACTTGCTTGCGGTCCGGGTGGAGCTTACCCTTTTGGATCAAGTCGGTGATCATGTCTGCCAGGCCGGTTTGGTCGGAGATAAGGACGGGGATGCCAGCGGCGATGGCCTCCAGGCCGACCAGCCCAAATGGCTCGGAGCGGGACGGCATCAGGACCAGGTGGGCTTTCATCATGTCGTCCCTGATCTCCTCCTGGGTCCCGTACGGCAGCAGGGTGGGGTTCAGTTTGAGACTGTTCATGGCGTCTTCCAGGATCTTCTTGCTCGTCTCAAAGTCGTCCTTGCTGATGCCGCGGACACACCACCGGGCGTTCTTGATTGTCTTTATCACCTCCCTCATGGACTCTCCCACGAGGTCATGACCTTTCAGCTTCTCCACTTTCCTCACCCTGCCGATGGACAGGACGACCTTCTGTCCTCCCCCGGGTTTTACATCTTTAGCCAGGAACAGCTCAGATGGCTTTGGTAGGAAGATGTGGTGGTGGTCAGGTTTCTTATCTCCCTTGTACTTAGTGCTGAAATGGTCGAAGATCCGCTTGCCAACCGAGAAAGCTGCCTTTGCGTTGTCGACTTTATCGAGCATGTCATTCTCTTTCTCCCGTGCTTTCATGGCATTCTCACCTCCCTTGTAGTACTCTGTATCCTCGCGTATGACATGGGTGAACATGATGAGATCTGCTTTGTCCTTGTAGTACGCGTTGTGGATGTTTCTCGCTGCGGTATCTGTGATGTCAGCATGGCCGATGATGCAGGTGACGTCTTTAGGAAGGTCTGGGAAGTGGACGCTGTGGTACTTAGTAAGCCAGTCTAGTGATGGCACCGACTCCTTGTCTATTTGTACTGGTTTTATCAGCGTGACACCATCTCTGTCTGCTGCCTCCTGGTCTTCTTTGGGTACATTCAGCTGTAGGACTGTGGCGTACACGACTGCCCCATTGCTCGCCAGGGTTTGGCTCGCCTGGCAGTTGATGGTAGAAATTCCTCCCTTGGAAGTTCCATACTCGTCGTTGATCAACACGATTACTGGTAATCTGGGGCCTGTAGGAAAGCAAAAACAAAGGTCTGAATATAAATGCAGAACCGGGGTACCTATAGGAAGTCATTTGCATTAATTTTTTATAATGCTGTCTTTTTTTCACTAAGTAACTTTAACTTTTATCAGACAGTAGAAGAATTGAACCGGATAGGTACCCTTTGAATGTTGGCCACCTCCTGCTGAATCCTGACGACTGGAGGCTCCATCTGAAATACAGATGAGCAATTGCTAAAACCACTGTAGATTCATTAGATCTCATCCAATGATAATCCAGCCGTGGATTTGCTATTTTCTTCTGACATACTTTTTTCTGCACCATTGTCCACATGTCTGACACGTTTCAGATTTTTCAGGTTACTAGCAGTCTAATTTAGAAATAACAGTGGTCAGTTGCATGTGCTAAAAGTCCCTATTCCAAACAAATTGGAGCATTTTTTTTACCATATTGTCCCTGTTATTCGTTTGTTGCTGTTGCTAGCAATTTCAGTGTCCCAATATATACGTAATACTTCACACTACTTCATTTCTCTTTGAATTGGAGTATTATAGTTCAATGTTTACATGAATGAATCTATAAAGTATAAGGTTAAAGCATTCTTTCACTATGTACAACCCAATCTCAGTTTTTAACCGTCAAGACTCGGGCATGTACGATAATGTACACTTTTGGGGCTAACGTACTGTGTTGTTTCAGAATATGCCATATTTTTTTCACTACAGAGAATATTTTGCATCCATTTTTTATATGGTATTAAAAAAAACTGCTGTTCCTATCTTTGGTATAATATAACTGGCTTGTCACGTGTCTCACAGTGTCTCACATACAGTGCATCGATGCTCTGTGCTTTTTCGGGTGATACACATATTTGCTACATCTTGAACATTATGGTGACGGCTTAGCTAGAAACAAGTGGCTGCTAACTAACCTGCCGGAGGGTTTCCAGGTGCATCGTGCTCCTCGAGTTCTATAAAAATGAAACAAGAAAGGCAAAATGAACTATGTCCGCACTTATGGCCGAAATCCAGACTGAGACTGAAAACTTTCTTACACAAGGCAATATGCCTGTACAACGAGTCTTCTCAGTAGGACGTTCTTGTCTTTACTTTTAGTGCCCATTGTGAGGCGTTTTGTAATGCCATGTTTGTGTGTTTCTCTGCCATGTATATGTATGTTAATTTTTATTTGCCATACAAGTTACAACAACTAGATTCAGTGTTATTCAGCATGTTTTGTACAGGTGGCTGATTTTATGAATAAACTGTTAAGAAGGCCTAAGAAACTTTAAGAAACCCTGTATAAAGACGATAAGAAGGCCTCAATCGATTTACTTTAAAGATAACTTTTGGAAACGATAACTTTTTTAAAGATAATGATTAGTTTGGGTAAAACACGGTGCCTGCCTTACCTGGAAACTCATTCTTTAGTCCATCCACGACACTCATCAGCTTCACTTTCCTCAGAGCGTCCATCAGGACAGTTATGGTGGCGGTTTCTCCTTTCCGTTTCTTCCACTCCTGCAACGTGTCCCGGCAGCGAGACTTGTCATCACTGTACCTCTTTTCAATGTCGGTGACTTCTGCCCAGCTCAGTCCTAATTCCTCACCAAGGTCCTTCCATTCGGCCGTCGCATTATTCTTGACGTAACGGAAGTACCTGCTGACATCTGAACCTATGAGGAATATGGTAGTATGAAAATATAATATTTAGATACACATATTCCAAAATGCATCAAAACATGCACAGTTGATAGGATAGGCTGCTACTACACTCAAGATACACATGTTTGCTACATCTTGGGTATAGTCGGCTTGGCCAAAAACAAAATGCCACCAACTAACCTGCCGACGTCCCAGGAACCTTTGCACTTTCCAACTCCTCTGGAGGGTTTCCAGACACGTTGTGGTCCTGGTGTTGATCGGAACTTTCTGTAGAAATGAAACAAGATACGTTAGAATTTAATAATGTACATCTAAGGCCTTAAGAAATATTGCCAGAATGTGCCAGAATCCATCCATTGAGGGTTTTTTTCAAATTGCTGGTCTAACAATGAATCTGTCAACATTGGGTCCATCCATACAGCCGTCACATTTTCCTTGATGTAACGGAGGAACATGCTGACATCTGAAATTATGAGGAATATACTAAAACGTATCATTTCTTTAGATACACGTATTCCAATACACATCAAAACATGCACAGTTGATATGATATACTGTTGCTACATTTGGAGTCACACAGAGACTAATAGACAAAAACAAAATGGCCTCCAACTATAACCCAGTGCTTACTTCCCAGAATACTTCGTCTTTTTAAACTTTTCAACTTGGATGTTTACATCAAAGTAAACATCCACGGTTTACAGGATAGGCTGATACACATATTTGCTACAATTGGGGCACATGGCTTAGCTAAAAACAAATTGGCCTCCGATTGCGCGACTAACCTCGGGACGTTTCAGCAACTTCATCTTTTCCACCTTCCTTCTCTGGAGGGTTTCTGGTCACATCCTGGTCCTGGGGTCTTTTGGGGTGAGGAGAACTTTCTGTAAAAATTTAAAAAGATACATAAGAATTAAATCATGTCCTTCTAAGCCTCTATTGCCAGAATCTCTTAGACCAAAACTGTATATGTTGGGTTTTTGCATCATTACATAGTACATAATACATGAATGCAAAATGGCCTGGAACTTGGTGTCATAATGGCTGTAGCATCACACTAAGGATTCAGTATGGGTAACTTGCATTGAATTGTGGTGTTTTATGAAGAGTCGATTCTTGCATGGGGTTCAAAGTAAGACAATTCCATTTTAGAGGGGGGTGATATTGTGAGTAATGTTAACTTTGGGATGGTTCATTTCTGCAAAAGGTTGATATGAAACAGTGACGGTCCTTTTTGGAATGAGGAGGGAAATGGAGTGAAATATACTGTATTAGCCCCCGAGCAAATGTCAGCCTTTGTTGTGTTGGAAGTTATTTGCTAAATCAACATTCGATGTCAATGTGGCATGTTTGATTCTTCTTATAATAAAGCTTTAAGATTCATGCTAATTTGGAGATTGTTACATAAATTTCATTAACCATGTACTACTAGGTGACAAAGACATTGGTACGAACCAGGCGAACTACTTGGGAAGAAGTAGAGCCTCTTGCGAAGGGTGTGCGTCACTTCCGACTGCTGCTTGTACTTGTGCTCTTGGGTCTGAGTTTTGGCCACTTTGGCGTTTACCTGGTTGATGGAAGAAAAGCATCACTATCAGATTCACGAATTAGTCAGTTAACATTAGTCTCTTACTAACTGAGACTTACTACCAAACTAACTACGCTGGCTATATATAGGAAAATACGGGGTTAGCTCACACAGATAGCCAGAGAACACGGGGTTAGCTCACACAGATAGCCAGAGAACACGGGGTTAGCTCACACAGATAGCCAGAGAACACGGGGTTAGCTCACACAGCCAGAGAACACAAGGCTTAAGCTCACACAGATAGCCAGAGAACACGGGGTTGGCTCACCATCATGAGCATGTCATGTAGCTCCTTCATGTCGGCATGTTCAGTGATGACGTCAGCGAGGGCCTCGACCAACCACGTGCCCGTTTCAGAGTTTCTCCAGGACACGTGACCTGTCAGAACACGACGTGAAATACCATCAGGGAATAATTGTGACTTACTGATATCGTTCTCTCTCGTGCGAACATTCCATCTGAGGATTATTAGCATGCTATTGATCACTTTACAGTAGCATAGATATTATACACTCAGACTCCTTGACAGTAGCAAAAAGGCATCATGTTAGTAGGACAGTCATTCCATCTGTACAGAGCTGACGATTCTTCAGCTTAAGAATGAAACAGTTTCAGGAAATCATGAATAGACTTTGACCACTTGGTGGCAACTGGTTTTGATGAGCATTATCCGGTTCCCTGGGTTTGGTACTTACCGTGTACTGTAGCGTACATGACCAGCCGGTCGCTCGCTGTAGGTAAGGTTTCTCCGGCATCAGGACTCTCCACAGCGGCTGGAGGTGTGACCCATGTGATTGTTGGAGGAGGCGGTGACACAGTGGCCTCAGTACTTCTATTGGATGCTTCTGTCCTAGTTTGGGAGGTGCTGCTTGCTTCATCTGTGGCCGAGTCTGTTTGTTCCAGTCCCTTGTCCCTGTCACCTGGGAATAAATTGGATGGAAAGATGATTAACATGAAAGAAAAAGTTTTATCGTCCAATGGTAACTGCCCATGATTAGCTACGATTTTCAGTATACTACTAAATGCTTCTCACCTCCTCTGCAGGCCTGAATGAAGAAAAGTTTCGGCTTCCCCACGAGACTCTTGCAGGCCTGGAAACTAGAAATGATGCTGTCCACAGACACGTGCTGTCCGTCTGTGCCCAACACGCCTGTCTCTGTGCCATGGGACAGCAGGAACAGCACGAAGCAGTCGTAGCTGCTGTGATCTCTCTTGGAGACTTCCTTTGTTACAGCCTCAATTTGCTGTGGGTTCAACACAAGATGATTGTCAACTGAAGCAAAGGGAAACTATAATCATTGTTTGTGCTTGGAATGTTATACAATGTATACTAAATACATTGTACAATGTATTCACAATGTATACTAAATACATTGTACATAATAACTGACTTAGTGACAGGTGAGGTACAGTGGCAGATAAACTAAATTATGTAGTGTCGCGCTTTGCAACAATTTTGAAGAAGACACAATGTTGACAGAGCGAAATACCTAGAATGTCTTTAGCAAAACTAGTGCCTAGTATGATATTTGAACAGCTCTTATTTCAATTACTTGTATCAGGTTACTCTCCAAGCAGAGGTTTGGGTTTTGGGCTATATTTCTAGTGCATAAAAGAAACCCGATAAAAAGGACTAAAAACACGACAAAAATAGCCCCCAAAAAAACCCAAACCCCTGCGTGGAGAGTATATCAGGTACCATATAAGAAATTTCAATTTCTTATATGTTAAAACAACAGATAGCTAGGACAATTACTTTCCAACACATAGAAACCAACAGCTACTGTTACTGATGTGCCCCAGCTAATGTTACTAAATACAGCATAAATCTACTGACATGGGGGCAGAAAAGACATAGCGTGGGGTAAGCAATGCTATGTAGTGCCACGCTGTCGAACGATTTTACGCGAAAGAAGACACAGGTTTGAGAATGAGCATGTTTCTGCAGTGAAAATAGTGCCAAGATATTGGAACAGCTTTTGGAACAATTTTGATCACTTGTATCAGGTACTGTTTAAAAGATAACAACAATTATCGTGGACAATAACTTTCAAACATATAGAAGCCAATATCTACTATTCTAAATGCCCCCACCTGTGCAGTAAGGTTCTGTTTGATCTCCTGTTGCAGCTTGAGTTTCCCACAAATCTCCCCGAGTCTGTCCAGGTCCTTCGCTCCTCCCGGCCTGTTTCTTGTCGGGTCCGTAAAGATGGTGTTGCTGATGATCAGTGCAACGCCGCGCGGGTCAGAGGTCATCTTGTAGCAGTCCTAGTCAAACAAAATATAGCATAAATTAGCAAGTGGGGTCGTATGGCGTAAAGGCAGAGTGTTCAACTCAGATACAAGCGATCCCGGGTTTGAATCCTGCCCAATGCCACCGATCTTGCGTCTTTGGAGAAGGCACTTTAGACGACTTTCCTCACTTCACTCACAGCAGGTGGAAATGAGTACCTAGCTTCAGTTAGGGACGTCTCTCTGGTAGGACATTAAATGGAGGTCCCATGTTTGGGAGAGCCACACCCCACGCACTGTACAAAACTGGAACAGGTGTGTTACGCCTAAAAGGCGGTTATGCGAAAGAAACATTTGTCATGGTGCCATAACCACTAGACTCAACAAATGGTAATACACCAGGTCCTACAAACTTAACTTAAATTGAAAAAAAAAAAAAAACTATTTCAACTGTTGGCTTACTTACATTTTCTTGTTTCACTCGAGTCAGGGATGGTCCACGTCGGAAAGCTGCAAATATTGAGGCAGAAAATGTCAGTCATTGGTGTAAAGTCTTTCTAACGTACAGTCTGTAGTATGTGATGTGATGAAACATTTACATGAACTGTAATTGTAATCTGAGATATTATGCCTCCTGGCTTTTTATTGACTGTATATTTTTATATGTTTGTTATGTATAGTTGATGGTGTGCGTTAGACTTAGCGTTCCAGGTTGTGTTAACACAGGTCAACATTTTCATCTGCAGCTTCTAACATGTACCCAGTCACGAACTTATGAAATTCTATTTAATCTGCCAGAGACTCGTAATGAAACTCAGAATGACATTACCACAACGTAAATCAGACGTAAATAACCATACACAGTATAATACAGATGTTCACCACTGCCGTCACTGGCGCCCGGTTGTATCTAATCTCCAACATCTGGAACAAATAACCTCTGACCCCGTCCCACGCCTAAGATCTGACTAAAAACTATTTTCTTATCGAAACCTGACACCCCTCTGTGAGGCGCCTGATAAAAATGGAACCATCCGACAATACCTTGACCACAGGGCAAGCCAAGCCTGCACGACCGTTTTCGTCAGGGGCCAACAAAAGGTTTCATTTCCATGCAGGAAAACACATATACAAGAAAAAGAAAAGGACGTGCATCATCTGCAGCCTTATAGCAAAACGTATACCGAGTCCCAAAACAATCCGATCACCCACCCGCGAGAAATAGCTGCGAACATGAAAACTGCGCCCACTTATGTAACCTTTCTGCGGAAGAATATCTCCTTCCTCCGAGGTAAATATTATCATATGATTACTTATTAGGAAGTAACAAGATCAATATGAAAGACTCTCTACTAATAATGACATATAAACATACCGGATAATCTGGCTGGTCTGTACACCAGGTCTGCTGACGTCGATGCAAACTCGACCTCCTCACACCAGACTTCAGAATGGTCCTTTGCAGTCCGGTCCCTCAGGTCAAACTTCCACGGGTTGTCCTGTCCTGCCTTGATGCAGTGCGCACAGGTGACGTGGAGGGAGTACAGCACACCTGGCCACTCCTGCAGCAGCTGGACCAGCACCTCCAGCAGTGGGTGGACCACGCCCCACATCTCATCTGCCTGGGCAAGCCTGCCTCTGGTTGCCATGGTGATATACGTGTCGTCTGATACAGGTTTGGAAGATACCATGATGATGTGATTTAAGCCTTTTTTGTAGGCCATGACTCCATCTTTCCAGTCAACCCTCAGGCTGTCCTTGACAAGTGGATGGATCCCAACACTGAACCTCTGAAACAGTCCCCGGGGACAGAATCCTGTGATGTTGCACATCAGCTGCAGCTGCTCCTGATCTTCTGGTACATCATCTGGCCAGACGCTCTTCCAATTCTGAGGCATTTCTTCTTGCAAGTACCAAGGTACTCTGTACCAACAAGTGTGCTTGGAAGGGTCTGTTTTGTCTTGTATAATGATCTCAAAGCATAAGCCGAAATGCTGCATCAGTGCAGTAACAATGTCAGGATTGATGTCAGATGGCAACAAACATGTCATAACGTCCTTCCGGATCAGTCCACGCTTCTGAAGTTCAATTTGAAAACCTTCAAGCTGTGTGCAAGTATAATCAGCATTCGTTGCTCTGCGTGTTGAGAAAAGTGCTTTGATCTCGTGATGAAACAGATCCTTGAAGATTTCAATCAAGGCAGGAGGATCATGGAAGACGTAGTCCTTGAGTTCCGGTATGTCCGTGTACCTGAGGATGGTTCCCACCTGCTGCAGGTAAGACAGGACTTGCTCCAGTCTGTCCGCCGGGAGATCTGTGAGCTCCAAACAGTCGCTTTGCGTTATCCACTTCTGGTTTCTTGTCACTTGTTTCTTGTCAGTTGTTGAGTCGTTGTTCTCAGTTGACGATTTATCGCCCTCACCTCTAGTGATTTCCAGTTCCTCTGTTCCCTTGTCACGTAGCCCGTAAACTTTCTGTTCAAACTCCACCCATGTCCGCGGGAGGATCTTTTTAAGCGTAGGAAACAGCTTGGTATTATTTGCTGACTCCAGTATGTGATTCTTTAGCGTGTCCAACCCAGATGTTGGTTCTGCAGAACTGATGCAGTACATTCCAATCAGTCGCAATGGATGCTTCAGGAGGCTTTGTGTGCGTTCTAACTGCTGTTTTATTTGTTTTTTTTCCTCATCGCTTTTGGCCTCTTTAGATCTTTTGTTGACTTCCCTGATTTGGCGCTCTGTATTACGTTTCCATGTATCCATCTGCTTTTGGAACTTTTCTTCGATGTCCTTCACTTTACCATTTATTTCTGCCTCACTGCACATGTCCTTCTTGCTACCCACTATTGTAACCACTGCCCCTGGCACGCGGGCATTCAGTGTGTCCAACCAGAACCCCACGGCTTCTGTGTACCTCTCTTCACTGCATCTGTATGTCTGCAGGTTCACCAATAACAGATGAAAGGCATCTGGCGTCAGAAAGAACTGATGAGTGAGATGGTACACGTCTTGGCCACCAAAGTCGAACACTTCAAACGTGATGTTGTCATCAGGTGCCCACTGAGTTATCTCTACACAGTGTGTGCGGTCCTCTACTTCTGTCAGGGTGGACTCGCCACTGTCTAGCGTCTGTACCAGGCTTGTTTTTCCCGCCATTTTCTCTCCCAATATGACAACTTTCAAATGAGCACTTGTGTTTTCTTCGAAGCGTCCAAGCTCCTCAAAGTACTGTCTGATAGCAGCGATCCCCTGACTGCAAACTTCAGCTGGTGGTTTTGTAAGTGCGTTGTCACTAACCTCTAGACGACATAGGTCATTCAGCAGACCAACCTCAGTGGGTAACGTCTGTAGTTGGTTATTGCTCAGGTCCAGCCGTTCTAACTGTGTCAGTCTCCACACTTCCGCGGGTAACGTCTGTAGTTGGTTCCAGCTCAGGTAAAGCCATTCTAACTGTGTCAGTCTCCCCACTTCCGCGGGTAACGTCTGTAGTTGGTTACAGGTCAGGTCCAGCCTTTCTAACTGTGTCAGTCTCCCCACTTCAGGTGGGAGTGTGCGCAGCTCGCACCCGGACAGATCCAAGTGTTTGACGTTAGTGAGTTGTCCGATTTCCGCGGGTAACATCTGTAGTTTGTTAAAGCTCAAGTTCAGCCATTCTAACTGTGTCAGTCTCCCCACTTCAGGTGGGAGTGTGCGCAGCTTGCACCTGGACAGATCCAAGCGTTTGACATTAGTGAGCTGTCCGATTTCCGCGGGTAACGTCTGTAGTTGGTTCCAGCTCAGGTCCAGCCTTTCTAACTGTGTCAGTCTCCACACTTCAGGTGGGAGTGTGCGCAGCCCGCACATGGACAGATCCAAGTGTTTGACATTAGTGAGCTGTCCGATTTCCGCGGGTAACGTCTGTAGTAGGTTACGGCTCAGGTGCAGCTCTTCTAACTGTTCCAGTCTCCCCACTTCAGGCGGTAACGTCTGTAGTTGGTTACCGCTCAGGTCCAGCCATTCTAACTGTGTCAGTCTCCACACTTCAGGTGGGAGTGTGCGCAGCTCGCACCCAGACAGATCCAAGTGTTTGAGGTTAGTGAGCTGTCCGATTTCCGCGGGTAACGTCTGTAGTTGGTTACCGCTCAGGTCCAGCCATTCTAACTGTGTCAGTCTCCCCACTTCAGGTGGGAGTGTGCGCAGCTCGCACTGGGGCAGATCCAAGCGTTTGACATTAGTGAGTTGCCCAATTTCCGCGGGTAACGTCTGTAGTTGGTTACGGCTCAGGTCCAGCCGTTCTAACTGTCTCAGTCTCCCCACTTCAGGTGGGAGTGTGCGCAGCTTGCAGTAGGACAGATACAAGTGTTTGACATTAGTGAGTTGTCCGATTTCCGCGGGTAACGTCTGTAGTTGGTTACGGCTCAGGTGCAGCTCTTCTAACTGTGCCAGTCTCCACACTTCAGGCGGTAACGTCTGTAGTTGGTTACCGGTCAGGCGCAGCCATTCTAACTGTGTCAGTCTCCCCAATTCAGGTGGGAGTGTTAGCAGCTCGCACCCGTACAGATCCAAGTGTTTGACATTAGTGAGCTGTCCGATTTCCGCGGGTAACGTCTGTAGTTGGTTATTGCTCAGGTCCAGCCATTCTAACTGTGTCAGCCTCCCCAATTCAGGTGGGAGTGTTAGCAGCTTGCACCCGGACAGATCCAAGTGTTTGAGGTTAGTGAGCTGTCCGATTTCCGCGGGTAACGTCTGTAGTTTGTTACGGTTCAGGTTCAGCCGATCTAACTGAGTCAGTCTACACACTACCGGGGGAACTGTTTTCATACCTGTTGCTGCTAGTTTCAGTACCCGGAGGTTGGTGAGTCCGGCCAGCCCATCCGGCAGGTGGATCCCGCTGTTCCCGCTGAGGTCCAGTTCCTCCAGCTGGGGGAGTTTCAGGACTACCGGAGGAACTGTCTCCATGCCTGCTCCTGCTAGTTTCAGTACCCGGAGGTTGGTGAGCCCGGCCAGCCCATCCGGCAGGTGGATCCCGCTGTTCCCGCTGAGGTCCAGTTCCTCCAGCTGGGGGAGTTTCAGGACTACTTGGGGAATGGTGTCCAGCTTACGGCAATGTAGTCTCAACCCTTTCAATTTGTTCATGTTAGACAACTCATCTGGTAGGGAGATTTTCAATTTTGAATCCCAGTCTGCACTTAGATCCAGCTCCTGTAGGTTTGATAGTTTCAGCACTACAGGTGGTAGGGTGTCCAGGTTACAGTTCTCTAAGTCCAGGACAGTGAGGTTGATGAGACCCGACATCTCATCCGGCAGGGTGATGTTCTCGTTGTAACTGAGGATCAGCATTTCTAACTGCGGAAGTTTCATCACGGCAGCAGGAACTGTTTTAAGGTTACAGTTATGCAAACACAGCACTTTTAGATTGGTCAGTTTGGTCAGCTGATCGGAGATATCGATGTTCTTGTTGCCTGTCAAATCTAAGACCTCCAATTCCTGTAGTTCAAACACTTCCTCGGGTAGTTGAGCCAGAGGTTCGAAATCACTACCATATTCACGAGACAAGTTCAGTGTCAAGAGAGTTCTTTTCCCAATCATGTCCCATTCTTTTGGCTTCATCTTGTTTTTAAAACTTGACAGTTTAGCCATGTCGATATTTCTAGAATTGAATAATTGTGAGAAAATGATACATGTAAAAGCAATTTATAATTATGGTGTTTTTATGATTAGCTTTGTAACCCTTTTAAAGTTCCATGTCTAATACATTGTAACAATGTATGATTATACATGTACATGTATTTACACAAGTATATCTCCTGCATAGTTCATACAGTGGATGAAATTAGAACATCATTTGCTCATTAATTACTGCTGCTAAACTTCGCTCATGTACTAACAGTTAAACTGTTACTGTTAATCTCTAAGCAGCTCCTACTCCAACTCCTAAGACAGCATACATTGGTCAGGAGTGACCATTTGCCCTTGTAGCTAGTGGATACTGTTTTCACACTGTAAGAATCTGCTTGGAGATTAACTGTACTACATGTACCTAAATTATGATGTCATGATTGTGCAATGGACCTGTCAACACGAAAACTGCAAAAATAAGACCACAGAGAGCACTTAAAGATTTACAATAACATATACACCAACATGTTGCAAAGTAGTCTAATATGACAAAGTATGATTTCTGAAGCATACTGTTGCCTGGGCCCAGGATTCTCCTCCACATCCCCTGCAAGCTTCAGCATGAGTTGTGAGATGACCATCCACACCAGCAAACATGACGCCACCCTCAGCAGCAAACACGGCGCCTCTGGCGAGCAGCACTGGGAGTCCCACCTCAGGTTCCTGAAGCAGCCTATCCGGGCCCTGTAGGTGCACAGGTCAACCCCCATCCTGACGGCCTGTGGAGTGGAGAGGGAAATATTATATAATAGCATTCTACATGCTTGAAATGAAATTGTGTATGACAGTCAAACTTGCCCAAGCGAACACTTCTACAAGCGAACCATCTGGCCATAACGATTTTTCTCCATCCCGACATTTTTTTCCCAAAGAATTTTCTCTGTCAAGATGTTTTTTCCGGGACCCATAAACTTTAAAATCTGTGTCTTGTCGCAATGCTGTTTTGTAAGACTAAGAAGACCACTTGTCTAAGAAGGCCACCTTTTCCTCAGTCTCCTGGGTAGACGTCTTATAAACAAGTTTGAATGTACATAATTTGCATTACCATATAATTTTAAGAACTTTTCCTCAGACTCAGAATTACTAAGTCTGTTCATAATGTGGAATGAAATTAAGCCTAGTGTGGCGGCGGAGAAGACCATCAGTTTTCAACAGGAATGTACTTCGCTCATACCCTTCGCTCATATTTTTTTATAATCATTCTTTTTATTGATTTTCACAAACATAAGATACACACAAAGAAAAACTTATACTGAAGGGACATGTAGAACACAGGAAAAGATAAATAAAACCAGAAAACAATGATCATCGCTAGGTGGCGCGCTACCAACCACACGTACTCTCCGTAGCTCCCGTCACTCGGGTCTACAAAAACGTCTTTTTCTGGACTTTAAGTGTGCATCTACCTTCAATCTTCAGCCTGAGGCTTTGTTAAGAACACTAGAAGGGAACTCGCCAAAAAATTGCCGGAATTTGAAGTCCTGTTGGATAGATTTCGTTAATTTCCTCCAACCGAGTATCAGTGGGGAGGGCGCTGTCCTGCTCTCCTTTGTTCTACTTCAAGTGACGCTGGGCCCCTGGCTCTGCTAGCTGACATCAAGACGACACAGCACAATGACGAGTCCTTCACCAGCAGTCTTGGATCTAAAAGCCAGGATTCTAAAGCGACTTGCAGCTTTTGAACGTCATCAAAACAACCCACCATGGCAGGTTGATAGGATTGGCGAGATAGCGACTGACAACAATTCCACCACTTTGGAAGCGCTGAAGGAAGTCCGACAGGAGCTGTTCACAGAGTTTGAAGGTCTTCCGAACAAGCCAGAGTCTTTGTTAGACGGAAGGTTAGTAAGACGTAATAAGAACACGTCACAGCGCTATACCTTGATAAAGGACATTATTGCCCTGGTAAACTTCAATTAAACATGGAAGACCAGTCAAAAAGAACTGCGTGACTGCATACGTTCTAACCTTGAATCATACACGCTTAGCCAAACAAGCGACAGTAATGATACACAGTTATTAGGAGAGGAGTGTGCTCCAAAGTATGACCTACCACAAGACAATAATGTAGCGCGGCCACCAAAACGAACCGGAAGTCAACAACATTCCGATAAGTGTTGTCTTCTATGTGACACTGTGCTTTCATGTGATGAGTCTACACAACGTGTACTAGCTGTATGTGCTTCCTGCAAACTACTCCCAAAATCTGTAAAAAGATTAACAGACACGATCCACCAGTTACAGGCAGAGGTCAACAACCTTAAGAACGGTGTAAGTTGTGACCCAAAAGAGGCCAAACTGAATGAAGATCTCACCACGGAGGTACAACGACTTCGAGACGAAAATGCTTCGCTCGTGAAGATCGTCGACGAGTTGGTACGACAAAAGCCTGACGCGTGGGAATCACCAGGGAGAAGAAACACAGTACGTCAGGGGGATGTAAACAAACCGTCGCACGCCCACAGCGTGATCAGAACGTCTAATCGGTTCTCCCCCCTGGACTCTACAGTCGGTAGAGACGAGCGTCACTCTTCAGTTGAGTCTGACTTTCTGGAAACTGAAACTCAACAGATTGAAACCTACAGAAAATATCAGCAGGCTCGGTTCTACAACACAAAATCTGCAGGAGGTACTGCTATTATAGGTGACTCTATGATAAACCACCTAAAGGGTAACAAGATGTCTAGGAAGAAGAACGTCAGGTGCTTTACTCACCGTGGGGCGCGGGTAGAACAGCTCATTCCATCTGCCCTGAGGATCGTCCAAAGAGAAAAGCCGAGTACTGTCATTCTCCATGCCGGTACAAACAACAACAAGGATCCCGCTCACCTGGTAACGGACAAAGCGTACCACCTGGCCTCGTCATTACAGCAATGTGGCGTGCCTAACATTGCTGTCTCCAGCGTGATCATACGGACCAACGAGAACATGGAATGGACCCGTCAAGTCAACAACGGTTTGTCACAGATGTGTTCCAACAACGGCTGGTACTATATCAACAACAACAACATCGGACACCGTCACATTGGTCCTGATGGGGTGCACCTCAATGGATACGGCACCACCCAACTTGCCAAGAACATGATTGCGTTCCTGAGCAGCACCCGCCCGGCGAGAGTTCGAGACGACACGTCCTTTGCCGACGCTGTGAGGGCCCCGCCGCAGAGACCACCGGGTTTTCGAGGGCGAGGCACCCCGAGAAGCCTATGGTAGTAAAACAGGTTAAAAATCTCCCATCATTTCTACTATGTAACGCAAGGTCCTTAGTTAATAAGCTTGACGATCTAGCTGACTCAATGACTAGACATGGAATTGACATAAGTGTAGTATCTGAGACATGGTTCTCACCCAACCATCCAACTGAATGTACACATATAGATGGTTTTAGTCTGTTCTCTAAATGTCGCACCAGTCGTGGTGGCGGCGTTGCCATTTACGTTAGAGAAACAATACCTGTGGAAGTTATTGATTTTATTGAAACACCTATAGAACTAGAATGTTTATGGATATTAGTTAAACCGTATTGGACACCGCGTCGAATTACAAACATTGCCATTTGTGTTGTCTACAATCCTCCAAACTCGATGTACGAGGACATGTTAGCCAAATATTTGATTGACAGCGTTGATAAGATTAGTACAAAATACCCCCAAGTGGGGATCTGTGTAATGGGAGACTTCAACAGATTTGAGATCAAAAGTCTTATAAATGGAAGTCAGCTCGAACAGGTAGTAAATCAGCCTACTAGGGGTGAGGCTGTGCTTGACTTAATAATATCAAATTTGAAGTCCTTCTATTTAAATCCCCGTATTGAAGAGCCCCTCGGCCTTAGTGATCACAATACCGTTATATGGATGCCCAAAGACCATAAGCCGAGCAACAGGAAAATAACGTCCACCTTCCGACAAATGAGAGATTCCAACGTCCGATCCTTCGGACGCTGGATTTCGGCCTACCCGTGGACCGAAGTCATCGATGCCCCAGATGTCCAAAGCAAAATAGACAAATTTTACCACATACTACATGTCCAAATAAATAAACATTTTCCCTATAAATCTATAGTTAAACACAACACTGACAAACAGTGGATAACTGCCCAAATCAAATCTACAATAAAACGACGTCAAAATGCATTTCATACTGGAAACATGACACTTTATCGAAGTCTACGTAATAAGGTTATTCGTCTATGTACAAAAGCAAAAAAGCAACACTATGTCTCCAAAGTAAAACATCTTAAGACAGATAACCCTGCTAAGTGGCATAGTTCTCTCCGTAAAATGTTAAATTCTCGTAAACCACAGGTGTCTATTAGGCTTCCCAATGACCCTCATGCAAATGAAGAAGACACAGCAAATATCATTAATAGGCATTTTTCCTCTATTGTAAATGATTTACCCCCCTTGGACCTGACCTCAATACCTTCATACTTACCGTCCCCCTCAAAACCACCAACAATTTTGCCATGGGAGTTATACGAAACATTAAAACGACTCAACCCTCATAAAAGTAGTGGTCCGGATGACTTACCGCCCAAAATTGTTAAAATGTACGCGGCTGAGTTCAGTGACGTTTTATCTCATATATTTAATTCATCTTTAGATGAAGGATATGTCCCTACTCAATGGAAACAAGCAATTATAACCCCAGTTCCCAAGAAGATACCAGCCTCTCTCGAAACCTTAAGACCAATATCCCTTACCTCCATCCTTATAAAGACATTTGAATCCTACATCGTTAAGTGGATTCTTCAGGACATATGCAAAGTGGTAGATCCCAATCAGTTTGGAAGCAGGAAAGGAAGGTCTACGGTCCATTATCTAACCAGTTTAATTAACTACATAGTCCTTGGTGCTAGAAACCCCTAAAAGCGTTCAAACACTACTAATAACTGATTTCAGTAAAGCATTCGATAGGATAAACCACACCAAGCTAATTAACAAGATGTTGACATGTGGGGTAAGGGCGTCAATTATGCCTTGGATATGTAGCTTCCTCACAAACCGTAGCCAGTGCGTCCGATACCGTACCAAATCCTCAAATTGGGAGGGAATCTCATCTGGAGTGCCTCAAGGCACTAAATTGGGACCGATTCTTTTTCTTATATATGTCAATGACGCCTTACAAGATGACATTCTAAATCGTTATAAATACGTAGATGACCTGTCGGTATGCGAGAGCAGACTTTTCTGTGAAGCGAGCCTAATTCAATCATCTATGGACCAACTCAACTCCTGGGCAATTAATAATGACATGAAGCTAAATGACGATAAGTGTATGCTCATGACCTTTTCCTTTATGAGAGACTGCCCCCCACCCCCTAATATAACACTTCATAATAAGCCCCTAATGTATACCGAATCCGCCTGTATTCTCGGTTTATGGCTCTCAGGAGACCTGAAATGGGACAAACATATTGAAATTATAACAAAGAAGGGGAGCTCACGTCTTTTCTGGCTGAAGAAACTGAAACATTCCGGACTCCCTGTTCAAGACCTTTGCGATTTCTACCAAGGATACATACGCCCGACCCTTGAATATGCGGCCCCAGTTTGGAATTCAAGTATCTCTGTACATCAAGTAATAAAAATCGAACGCATACAAAAACGAGCAGTAAAGATAATCCTTGGCCCCCTGTACACGTCTTACAACATCGCCCTGTCCCAATTATGTTTGCCGTCCCTAGAGAAAAGAAGAGAAACCCTTAGCCTTAAGTTTG